GAAGGTACGTCAAAGCAGTAGGCGACATGCGCATTGTTGACCAAAACCCGTATAAATTTTGAGGAGATCTATAACAGACATACCTACATACGAATGGAAGTAACTCGCTCTCGGCACATAATTCAGATATCAAACAACTTCAATTCGGTAAACATGACAAAACAATGATTATTGTTTAGATCAATATTTTCGCCTATCGATATTTCCTACTAGATTATGGGTATTTGAATTTTAAAGATTGCCGCACATGAGACAAATACCAAACTGTATGGATGTTGGAATTTTAGCCATAAGGCTATATTTCTTATAAGTTGACTTTTATTTCAATCTATTATCTCCAAAAAAAAATTTTCAGCATACTACTAAACTAGTTGTAGTTGTGCACTATTTTGCCTAAGGCAAGTCAAACAAAATTTCATATATCATACTACAAACTAGTTGTAAGTAACATTTTACCTTAGAGCAAGTCAAACAAATTTTTATGTCCCTATGGCAAGTCAAACAAAATTTTATGTAATATACTATAAAACTAGTTTAAGTAGCATTTTACCTTAAGGCAAGTCAGACAAAATTTTATGTTCCATACTATAAAACTAGTTTAAGTTCATAGACCTTATAATACACATATACATACATGTGCATAAAGTCTATGTTTAAGTATCATTTTAACAAAATTTTATGTAACATACTGCAAAACTAGTTTAAGTAGAATTTACCGTGAGGGAAGTCAAACAAAATTGTATGTGACGTACTATAAAACTAGTTTAAGTAGCAGTTTGCCTTAAGGCAAGTCAAACTAAATTTTATGTTACATACTATAAAACTAGTTTAAGTAGCATTTTGTCTTAAGGCAGAAAAAACAAAATTTTATGTAACATACTGCAAAACTAGTTTAAGTAGCATTTTACCTTAAGGCAAGTCAAATAAAATTTTATATAACATACTAAAAAACTAGTTCAAGTTACATTTTGTCTTAAGGCAAGCCAAACAAAATTTTGTATAATATACTATAAAACTGGTTTAAGTAGTATTTAATCTTATTAAGGCAATCAAACAAAATTTTATGTAACATACTACAAAAGTAGTTTAAGTAGCATTTTGCATTAAGGCAAGTTAAACAAAATTTTATATTATATACTAAAAATCTAGTTTAAGTAGCATTTTTCCTTAAGGCAAGTCAAACAAAATTTTATGTAAACTTTATGCAAATCTTGTTGTAAGTAGCATTTTACCTTCAGGCAAGTCAAACAATATTTTATGTAACATAGCAAATCTAGTTGTATTTTGCCTTAATCCAAGTTGCATTAACTTTTTGTTTCGTATACATAACCAACTTAATTAATAAAAATTTAGATTCAGCTATTTACGATTTTTTAGTTCATTTCGAAAATAAAATTTTTCGCTTTCACTAAGAAATGATCAATACGATTTTCAATTGTTTTTCAAACATACTTATGATATTTCTAATTGTATAAAATGCATTAGTTTGTTTAACATATTTCGGGTTCTAAATATGTATTGTATTCAGTGTAGACGTCAACTGTAATCAGTACCTACAAACTAAGCGCAAAGCAAAATTTTAAACTTTGACAGTTTTTTGTAATTTAACCGCTTATCGTAGGTCTATAATATTTTAGTATGTTAGTTTGCACTACAAAGTTTATCGTTTAACAAAAAAATTTCAACATTTAAAGACGAAGAAACGGCTTGGCCAATCTTTACTAAAAACTAATCAACGCGACTTTCAACCAATATTTTTCGAACAGTTTAAAGTCGATTCAAGATTGTGGACTAAAATGTGTAGGAAAAATTTTACACTTTGCTGCTAAGTAGAAAGAAACGGCTTATCCGATCACTTACCAACACTAGTACCTATCGAGTTTCATAAATGGCTTTTAAATTTTTGAAATTCGTGCAGCGGTCTTTAAGAAAATTCGACAAAAGGTCAAATTTTGACTCATACGTATGTTTTTCAATTTTAGTCTCAGGCGGTTGAGAATGACTTGAAACTTCTAGAAAAATAGTATTAGCAAATAGTATTTCTGTCGAAAACAAACTTCTTTTTCGTAATGCTAATAATATAAAAGTGTTGATTAATTTTTTTACAATAAGAATATTGCTAAACTTAGTATTAGTTTTGTTTTCAGTTAGAAACAATTATGTTCCATATAATTTGTAACCGCATTAAACATTGTTACTACAGTTACAGCAACGCTTCGTCGGTACCTACTGCTAATAATTACATCGTTATTGACGAGCATTTCAATGAGTAACATGTACAAATACATACACACACACATATATACATATAAATGTACATATATAATATATACACACACACATATATATATACGTATGTGCATATGTATATGTAACACATCGCTTTGTTCGATTTAATAATGATGTAATTAGTCCAACGTGCTAACAAGTGATGTATCTATATCAATAAGGTGTATATGAACGTCTCAATAATTTAAGTTTGATAACTTAACAGATTATCGCAAGTATATAGATTTAAGTAATTCAGTGGAGTTTCTGAAATAAACTATCTAAAGTATATATATATATATATATATATATATATATATATATATTAATATACATATATTTAGGGTGGTCCCAAGGACTCAAATGCTTCCAAATTGATAAAAAACAATTCCCTGAAAGTTTTAGCTCTTAATATTAACTCTAACATAGTCCGCACTCCAATCAATGTTTCTTGATTCTTCTTTCTAAGTAAATACTTATTTTATGAAATATATCAAATTTTTGTTGTATTTTTTTTATTAAAATGGATATTTAACCATATTAATTCCATAGAAACATTGTTCGGAGTGCAAACTATCTTAAAGTTAACATTAAGAGCTAAAACTATCAGAGATTTTTTTTAACAATTTTGAGCAAGAAAATTCGAAAACAAATTAAGGATTACCCTAATATACCTTGACGACAAGCCGAAACAGGATGATAGTATTATGTGTACTGTCCTAAAAAAAATTGTAATTTGAAAATTGAAAAAACTAACTGGGACTACCAGTCTGGAAGTAAAAAATCATGCTACTTTTAGGTTTTTATTTTTTTACTCGATTTATTTTACCATTTTAGCGTTAGTATGTTTTAGTATTTTACCATTTGACAATCCTGAAAAAAAACACCAATCAACTTTTGATGAAACTTGCCAACACACTTTAGTACATTTTTTTTTCTAAGAAGGGTCTTTCAAAGTCGGCCGATTTTGAAAATTTTTAATTCATTGTTCAAGAAAGTCTCAATTATTGAGAACTTGGAATAATTGTATTATTTTTTTTATTGTGGTCTTATAAATGTTATTCACGGTTATGATTCCAAAGTTTAAATAAACAAAATTAGTAAAAATTAACCACAATAACTCATAATTTGCAAACAACCCGAGATAATTTTTTTCAGAACAGGTAAGGGTCAATACTATTACTCCGTTTCGGCCTATGTCAAGGCCTAAGACACCCTGCATGTATATTTGAAATAATTATTAACCAATTCTTATGAATAAAAAGATACACTGAATTTCAATTCTTTATTTATACGCTTACTTAAACCAGGAAAAAATATATTTGATACTATTATATATATATATATATATATATATATATATATATATATATATATATATATATGTTAGAGAAGTTAGTTTTGATGTTGAGAAATATGAGTAAGTTCTTCAAGGGCATACATCAAATAAAAGGCAAAGATTTAGAAGTTAATCTTTAATTTTTCCAAACGTTTCGACATAGTATTTTATGTCATCATCAGTGGATATAAATATGGTCTTACATCAGTAGCTAGCGCAAGGCACATAATTTTGCACTATTATATATACACTAACTTGTTTTTTTTTTATTTTATATGTATATATATATACTTTTACGTTAATTATTGCATATAAATAAATCTTGTTTATCACCTTTATCAAATTACCTTTTTATATAATTAACTTCTCGTAGGGTAGGTAGTATTCGCAAAAAAATCGAAAATGAAAATTTGTATAGATCTTTACGTTTCAACGCATACTGATTTTGGCATACGTTAAAAAAATAGAATATATATATATATATATATATATATATATGTGTGTGTGCGGATACACATTTTTATCGTCGATTTCGGGAACACGGATCAACCAATTTGAATGATGTAAAAAACATTCGATTCGTATTGATAAGGAGACGTGCTGAACAGTTTTTGGCAAAGGCAGGTTCAGCCGTTTTAAAGATACGGGTCAAAAAAGTGCCAAAAATGGTAAAGCGATTTTTGAGAAAACTGAGCTTCCGATTTGAGTGATTCAAAAAACATTTTATTTGTATTGGCGAAATGAAGAACTGATGATAGATGATTGATAATTGATAACTATTAAGCTTCACTTAAATGATCGATTGAGTTTTTTTGTAGATTCAACAGTAATTTGCAAACATATTTATTCCCCACTGCCCCTGGGCAATATTCAAAACATTTTTGCATTTGAATATCTAAAAATATGTTTGCAAATTACTGCTGTATTCTGTAGAAAAAACTATAAGAATTCATTTCAGTAAAACTTAATAGTCATTTATGGTAAAAAGGGCAAGGAAACGACAAAATTATAAAATTTTAATTATCACGCAGAAGAATTACTGTATTCGAGATTTTTTTTTATATTTCTGCATTTGTTGTAGATTGACCTCAATTTTGACTTTTCGCGCGTTTCGCGGTAAAAACTACATTGGAAAATATATGTCGCACATCTAATACAGACATTTTTTAGAGACCTATGTTATTAAAGTATAACCACAATTTATAATTATACGTCTCATTACTGGTTTGACAAAAACCAATTTAATTTAAACCACCTTACCCTTGTTAAATGAAAATGCAAACGTAAGATCTGAACGAGAAGCAAATTACTAATTAAATAAAAACCACATCCAGCTTTTGAATAAATTGCCGACGTACCTACTTAATTAATACGTTTCTCGTGTACGACTAACCTGTATTTTTCCGGACGATCTTTCTCCTCAGCTGCCTCCTCTTGCCTCTTGGCGAATTCTCCTCGTCTTCATCGCTGACCGTATCATTTGAACCCTGTCGTGTCTGTGTCAACCTGTCGGAAGCATTTCGTTGGCAGCAACCAGAACTAGCAGACTTCCTTATGCTATTTTCCTGATATTGAAACGGAACCTTTTCTCTTTCGTAAACGCTAGAACTTCTACGGTAATGGTGCACTTCGTCGTTTTCGGGTATTGTGCCATGTGCAGAGTAAGATGTGGCTAAATTATTAGTTGCGCTACGACATTTTGATATACTTTTAAGTTTTGAGTTTTGTAATTTTTCAGCGTCTAACTTTTTAACTATTTGATCCGCTAGTTCGGTTATTTGAACATCCTTGCACTTGTCATTTTAGGTTTCCTTCTTTTGTATTTGTGAAAACTGTCTTCGCAAATTATTGATGGTTCAGTAGTATCAAACGTGTTTTGTTGGAAGCAACCGGAACTTGCAGATTTTCTAATATTTTTATCCTTACATTGAGACAGAATCGACGGATTAAACAATTCGTTATTATTTTTGTTATCGCGTCTTTTATAAGCTGACATCACATTGTTACTGGCGCTTTTACTTCTAGATAAATCTTTTGGAATAATTTTTCCAGCTTTATCAGTTCCTCTTCCGTAACTTCCTTCACTTGGCGATCTTTGTACTTTCTGCCTTTGGGCCTTCGCCTTTTGTACTTATAAAAACTTTCTTCGCAAACGATCAAAGTTCCCGCACTGCAGGTTCGATAAATGTATTTCGGCTTTCGCGCGAATCCATTTTCCTCGTACAAAGTGAAGTCTTCGGCGCCGCTGGACTCGCTGGAAGAAGCATCACGAAAGCTGTGTCTGTTATTAATGCTTGCATCACTTCGTTCCCTTTTGATCTTTTGGGACGGTTTTTTACGCGGAAGTGAGTTTTCTTTGGCTACGTAAGTGCTTTCAACTTTTAAATCGTTTGTTTTTGCCGAGGATTTCACACTACTGTTGGATTTGTAGCTCGAGTTTTTGGAGTGTTTTCGACTACTCTCAATACTATCTGCTGTTAATTCGTTAACTTTCTTGGTTGATTTGCTGCTTTTATTAGATTTATAACTCGAATTTCTGGAACTATTCCTTCCATCGAAAACACACCCTGCCTCATTCGCATCAGCTAGAATTGTGCCCTCAGAATCCACTAACTGAATTCTTGGAAATATAATATTTGGTGAACTCTTAGATGTTGTTAATTTCCAATTCCAAAGCTTGGGTTTATTTAGGTTTAATCTAATAAAGTCATTATCGAATGTGTCCGATTCAATATTGTCAGTCACTGATATAATTGGATGACCGAGTTTCATTTTGTAGCTTGTTTATAAAATGTGAATGTATTGTGTAGTATTAATTCGAAATTGTGTGAATAAAGGTAACAGGTTAATCAAGTGTTTTTGAAATGAATTATATATTTTCTATAAAGGTGTATTTCTGACATACAATTGTTATTAATTGTGCATGTGCTCATATGCAACGAATATCAGAGTTACAATAAATCTGCTAGACACAAAGTATTTCACTAATAAACACAATATTTAAACGTCACTATTTTATCCTTGAAGTAATTATTTCGTTATAAAAATAGCACAGAATTTTTCACAACAAGTCGCCTAGAAATTTATGAATGGTTTTCGTTTCACTGCTATGGAAAATTATTAATAACAAAAATCTATAAGCAATTATGTAGGATTAACAATTAATTCCAGTTGTCGTAATAATTTCTAAAAAGATTCGATTTTATCAATTTTATTTTCGATTTCGTCATATAAATTTCGTTTATATCCACTTTTAACTTTTGCTTTAAATAACACCACAGTCACAATTCTCAAAATTATTAGCACAAAATCGTGAAATCAGCAATTAATACGTTTGTGATGGTTTCACTCGTTGTGGTCATTTGCTCGTTTATGTACAGAATTATAATGAATATATTAATATCGCAATATTCAAATATTGACATTAGTATGCTGTCTGAAATAATGTAATATGGTCGGATGTAGCCGTTAAACTATTTGATATAATGTAATATAAGGTCGGGTTATTAAAAAATACGATGATTTAAAAATGGTCGTGTTTGTAAAATTTCGAGAGTTCTGTACGAGCCGCGATTTGCCCGATAACTGTATTCCTTAGCGTGTCTCATCCTGGTCATTGGGACGAAAATAACTCCTGTGGGAACATCTGATCTGGACCAGAGTTCGCTAATCTGTCGCAATATTCGAGATTTTCGCAACGATGCGAATTTAATTATTTTTCAAGATTTCAATATAAATTTACGTTTATGTGAAGTGTTTTACTTCCAAGAATTAATTGAACATATGAATTTTGAAGTGAATTTCACTAAGAATTCCATTTAATTCTATTTAATAAAAACATAGTATTCATGATTTGTATGCATTGAAATAATAAAATGGAATAGAAAAAATAAAGAAGTAAAATGCATTGTATTTTTAGATCACTTTCAAAACTCATCGTTAAACAGATATCTAATACGTAGGTAATGATCAATAAATAAATTTAGGTTTCATTTTATTTATAAAAAGGCATACATTTTTAACAAAAATTAAATTGTTATCCAGGTGTTTAAAACTAATTATGTTAAGATATATAGATAGAATCTACAACAAAATTTTAGTTTTAATTTGTCGTGCAATTTTTTTCCTACCTGATACATTGTTGGTTATTTTACTGCTTTTGTTTGAAAAAAAAACGGAAATGCATTTTTTGGAAAACTGATGACAGTTTTTCTTTTGTGCCACAAATCTTGTTATTTTAATTATGTTAAGAATGTTAAGAAATAGAAACAAATGTTAGAAATGTAAAATACACTTATTGTTAGGGTAGAAAACCATCATGTACGTACATAGTTATACATATTTACTTTAATTTCAACAAAAGTTTAATTTTTATCCAAAATCATTGAATATTATATATATATATATATATATATATATGTGTGTGTGTGTGTGTGTGTGTGTAGTTTCACTTTGATCATTTAATTATTTTCTCCTAGTAGATTCTTCTGGTATTATCTACTACTATCGAATCACAATGTTTTATTTTTCATATACTAAGAATCCTGCTCATTATTCTGTATAAACAGATCGCAAAATAAAATCAATAAAAAATTACTTTGTATATTATAAACAAAAACAAACTTTAATTCTGCACGAGAACTTCAACATTGCATTTTCCTCTGTATAATAATAGTTTTGATATTTTTTTATTTCTGTCAATCGCAAATAATTTGAAACTGAATCTAAAATCATGCTAAAACTATAATCGAAACGTATGAATTTAGGTACTAAACTTCTAAAAATATCACATTTTTATTGATACGCCAGATTAATAGACCTGAATGTATATGCCTACATCAAATTCTAGATTATACCTAATTATACATATATTCAACAAATACTATTCCTATTAAAACGCTTCTGAAACTTGTAAATCATTATTTATTTTACCATAATTATAATCGCAAAGACAAACTTGCTTCAATCAACCGCACGTCAATATCAAAGCGAAAATGCCAGGCGAACAGACGCTTTCCGGAGCGCAACACGCACATTGGCGCATATGTGTTGGTAGACGGGATGGCAAACCTTTTTATAACATAAAATAAGCAAGGTAAAATAAATAGAATATAAAATTCATCAACGGCTAATTTGAAATGTATTGCATCTAAAAATTTAAAAAAAATTGATCATACAATTAATGGGAAACCCTTCGTAAGAGATACATTGAAGATCGCAAAAAATAATTTATTAATTCGCTTGAATTTAAATCAAAGTAACCACTGTTCATCACTAATATTCACAAATGATCACAAAACATTTACTTTTCATTAAAAATCACTAATGCTTGTCACCTTGCAAATTATTATTGAATCTTTGTCTCTGATGAAGGCAAAATAAGGTTATGAATAAACTTTTATTTATGAGCGTTTGGAGAATCTTCATATAGAAAATATAAATATCTTTCATTATTTCTCGAACTCTCCATTCAGTAGATGACAATATCTTTTTTAAATTACTTTGTGAAATAAAGGAATTCGAAAATCACCATCAAAGTTTAAGGCAATGAACAATATTAGGTTGTGAATAAGGAGAAATGTAGCAAATGTGAAAGTAGGTGAAATGTAATGCAACAAAAGATGTTGATTCAAATCGATGATAGAAAATACAATAGAATATAAGAACCAATTCTCCGATATATTAGAAATGTTATTGCAAAGCTTTGCTATAGTCCTATCTTTATTAATTGGTAGCAAAAACTGTCAAAAAGTTATGTATTTCTCATGCGATCAGGCGTTTCACACATAAAACCTAACTTCACGTATGTGTTATCAATGAGACATTAGAAAGGCGCACTTATGATAAAAACTATTTGATTTTTGTGCGTTTTGTAGGTCAGGTTTTATGTGTGAAACGCCTGATCGCATGAGAAATACATAACTTTTTGACAGTTCATACAAAGATATGACCGCAATATAGCGTTGCCATAACATTTCTATTTTATCGGAGAGTTGGCCTCATAATGTTATTTTATGTGGTCTATGTAGAAGATTAAAATTGCTAACATAGTAACAATAACAGCAAAAAAACTACTCATTATATATAAATGATGTAAAACTAATACTTTTATTTACATGATTATATAAAATTATTAACACCATTACATACTCCCGTTATTGCCAACATCGCATGTCAGCATATTTTTGCATTGGAACCCATAAATTTATTAGTTGCAGAACCCTGGAATTTTACATTTACTTGGGCGCGCTTGTCGAGAAATGCGTCTGTTCTCCTAATACGTCAGACGATTTTAAAGCAAATTTTATATGAAAAGAGCGTAAGAGAAATAAAACGAACGCAAGTTGCAGAATCAAGTACTTTTTTACTACCGATGCAAGCATGTATATGTTACATAAATAGCTTCAGCAAACGGTCTGAGGCCCGAGTATCTGCAGGAGATGACATGTAACTTTACTGCATCGATGTAACAAATTAAAATTAAAAGCATTTTTTTTTCAAGTAATAAAATATTTTTATAGCATTTATCTAGGCGTAAAAACAATTAATAGTAGCATTTCAGTTTTCAATACAATTTTGGAATTTACTAGGGTGCACTAGTGGATCAGACACCAGGGCCGACAGACAGATGAAGGAGCGGATGATCAGACAAGCAGACGGTGGGAAGACAGATAAACGAACGAAAGTTCTGGCGGAAGGACGAATAAATAAACTGTCGAGCTAACGAATAACAAAACTACGTTTTTTTCAATTTACTTTTTCAATTTTTGTCTTTTTTTTTCGTATTAAGATTTGCTAGGACCGTTTAGGTGTGGAACACTGTAAATAAAATACCCAATTATATTTGTTTTTTAACTTTTTAAAAATTTATGGCTAACGTTAACGATAATTAAAGATTATCGAATCAGAAGTTACACAAATACGAATTATTTTTTATATTTCTAGATAATTTAGTATAAGTTACGACAAGTAGAATATAGTTTACGTGAACTAAATTTGGCTAAATTAAGGCAACAACTATCAAGTTGTTCAACCGTTCAACGCAGAAGATCAGATGTCGCGGTGCACATTGGCCAAAGGTCAAAAGTTGCACTTTTATATTCGCTTTGTTATACAATTTTATTAATTAAGAATCTTTTATTTGAGAGTTCTCTTCGTTTTTCAGCGATCAATTTTTCAATTTACAAAATTGTATGGAAAAATTAGCTCATTATTTGGTTGAATAATATTGTTTAATTTTTTGTTAGGGGTCACTGGTTGAGATCTCAAAATTGGATGTGTATTATTATAGTCTCCGCCGACACAATTTTAGGCCCAAGACTTTAAGAAAATGTTGAAAATTATTTACCTTTAATATGGTAGAGATACAGGTAAGTTGTAAACTTCGACTAAGGTGACTTGTAAATAATATTCCTAAAAAAATAGTTGATTCAATCAAAAGAACTCTTTGCAAATTGCCACTTGATTGTGGAGTATAGTAGAACGAGTACAACAGAATTACGAAGTGATTTTTTTATGTTAAATTATTTATTTATGACTATAATATATTATATATAAAATAATATATATATATATATATATATATATATATATATATATATATATATATATATATATATATGTATATATATATATATATATATATATATATATATATGTATATATAGATGTATATAAATTATTGCAATGCCCCTGAAAGGCTATTTTGTCATGTTTGAGATCTATAATCCCAAATGAAAGTCTTATATGATAATACTTTATATCAAGCTGGC